CCCCCGTTTCCCTCGCGCTCGATCGATATCCTTCCGGTCCAGGAGTGCAGGGACCTCGCTCAAATGCCAAGGTCCTGGCTGGGCCCACAGGGGTGGGGGTAGGTAGTCCTTTTTCCTGGCGAACTTCCCAGGCGACGTTCGTCAGCCGGTTACCTCCTGGACCCCTCCAGGTCGTGGGCAAACCCTGGTAGTAGGGGGCGGATGATCACTGCTATAAATGGTACCAACCGGCCGTTCTCCAGGAACACAAAACGCGAGAGATCGGGCCCGGTGGGTGCCACACCGGCTGGAGCGGAAATCGAGCGAGTACTGTGTGCCCGGCAGCAGCGCCTCGAAGAGGGGAGCAGACCGATAACACGCCAGGAGAGAAAGGGACCGATAGAGAGCCAGGATTTTCCAAGGGCGACATGAGAGGCTTGGTGAGTCCCATGCGACCGGGACCCGGGCCCCGGCTAGGTTCGGTCCGCGGACAAAGGAAAGTGAAAGGTTAGGGTAGATCGGGTCACTCGGCCGGGTCAGAGGAACGGCCCACGCGGCTGGGCTTATGGGCAACTCGGGTGTGGGCATCCGCTCGAGAGATGCTGATGGAATTATTGCGCTCATGGGGGACTCCGGTTTTTGGGGGACCTGTAGCTCTCGAGGGAATCTCTGCTTTGTCTTTTGAATAGTGAGCATGGATTTACCGTGGGCAGTCTTTGGAATCAGTAATGTGTTCATGTTTCGAGGGGCTGGATTTTGGAATTTTTGCACCCGGTTTTGGAAGATTCTTGTTTATGTAGAAGTTTGTTTTTTGGAGATATGAGTCGATGGGATTTTTGTATCCTTTTTTGGGAGCTTTATTTGTGAGATTCTTTTAAGGTATGAGTATTCCTTGGATATTTGTTATTGTGCCTTTTGGGAATTTGTTTCAGTATTGTATGGGCGTTGGTTTAGTGGAAGTTCAGTGTTCTGAATTGTTACTGTAACTGTTATAATGTATTTTATGTTTCTGTTTAAAGATTTACACCAGTCTTGAAATTAAGAATAATTCATTGACAGTATTCAAAATTGTTCTTATGATATGTCAGCCTTTTAAATTCAGTCTCTACTGTTTGATGCTTGTTGTCCCAAATATTGTTAGCTATAACTATTATAGAATACAGAAGAAAGAAAATTAAAGAATTTCCTTTAAAACATTCCTCATATCTACGATAACGAAATACATTCAGAAAAATGATGAGTTAATCGTAAATTATAAAACTATGTTTTAGATTATTTTACTCGTCGTGGCAGCGAGCTGCAGGGCCGGCTACTTGAACCCTTCAGGTTACGCCGAGCCCCAAATTCACCCGCAACCTGCTCCGCAGAGGTATGCACCCCCTGCACCGGTTGGCCAAGACGGAAACGTGATCGACACACCGGAAGTGGCTCAAGCAAAAGCTGCCCACTTCGCTGAATTCGCTAGGGCAGCAGCCAGAGCAGCTGAAGAAGCTAAGAACCAACCCCAAACAGCGGAATACAGCCCCCAAATACCATCGCAGGCTTACAATTACCCCTCCGCTCAGCCAACAGCACCAACTTACGTCAGACAACCAAGCTACCAGTCTCCAGCACCAGTTTATCAATCTGGTCCAGGTGAATTATTTCAAAAGACGATGGAATAATGAAATTTTTGTATGAAAATCTCTTGTTTTTATGTTAGAGTGTTAAAGAATTTATTTCTAGCAGCTCTGTGAAGATAATATTAGAAAATTGGGAAACTTTGATTTTAATATAGAGGTTAGGTTTGATTTTAAGCAGTTTGCATTGGTTGTGGCGATTAGGGGATGGAAGTTTTATTTTAGGGTAGTAGAATCTAGTCGATGAGCAGTAGGTTCTCTCTTTCTGCAGTTTTTAAGTGTGTTATAATTGTTTTCAATCAGGAAAATAAAGTTCTGGATAGTACTTTGCTAAAAAAGTAATTTAGCAATGACTTTGTGTGTAGGTTCTGTTTAAATTAGGCATAAAATTGTATCAGAACTAATTAGTTGCGGCGCAGATTAGTTTTAAAGTAACTTTAAATAATCTGAGCAAGTATAAAATAGTTACGTACTGTATTTAAACTGCATCAAACAAAATTCTAAATATATTAAACCTTTGTTGCTAAAGCTAGATTGGGTCTGGGTTGATCTAGCTCATAGATCATACATCTATCTCACTTCTCTCAGTATATCCAAACAATAAAAGAAATCAATATTAAAAATTCTATCTACTATATCAGTTTGCAACACAAATATTTAGTTTTCATTAACAAACTATAATAATACATTCAATATATCAAATAATCTCCATTATTCTTTCATAACTAAATAAATTATAATTAAAATTAAAACTAAAGTGCTAGGATTGCAACAGGCCTATACCAGTAACCATATTTATCTAAATAACAGCTAATCAATTATTTATCCATCATTTCATAATCAAATACGTTATAATTAAAATTATAACAAAAATTCTAGGATTACAATAATCCTATACCAGTAATCAAACTTATCTAAATAACAGCTAATTAATTATATACTCATCATTTCATAATCAAATAGGTTATAATTAAAGTTATAACCAAAATTCTAAGATTACAACAAGCCTATACCAGTAATCAAACTCATCTAAGAAAACAGCTAATTAATTATGTACACATTATTTCATAATCAACCAGGTTATAATCAAACTTATAACCAAAGTGCTAGGATTACAACAAGCCTACACCAGTAACCAGATTTCTTCAGCTAGCAACTAAATAATTATTCGAAAAAATTCCAGTTCCAGCTGCAGCGTACAATCAGCCGAATCCCGTGGCCTATCAGCCTCAGTACAGCAACAATGCTAATTACGCTGCACCGGCGAACTACGCTGCCACCGTGAAGCCCACCCCGTTCGTTCCCGCGCCACTCGCTGATGATGGCACGGTAATCGACACGCCGGAAGTAGCTGCTCTTAAGGCCGCCAGGCTGGCGGAGTTGGCCGAGGCCGAAGCCAGGGCGTACAAGTACGCCCAGGAATATAAACCGGAAGCTCAAGGCCAAGGTATGCACTCCACTGCGGATATCACTTGAAAAATTCGGTGTCAACGCTCGGCTCAACGACCGCCATTTTTGTTTGGCGGAATTTTCGAAGAATAATTGTCAATTTGATTTGATTTCTGGTGTTACGAATACCAAAACGAAAGGACAATTTTAGTCACTTCCTATGGAAATTTGATCCTTGATGTTGTCAATATTAAATATATGATATTTTTATTATTTGATATTTCTGATATTGATAAAGGAAATTTTAGATACTCTGCATTGTAAATTTTATTCTTGATACTTATTTGTATTGAGAAGGGAAATTCTGGTTAGTTTAAAAATGATATTGAAATTTATCTAAGATTGCATTTATTATTAGTATTTAGTACTTTTGGATCTTAGGATAGAATAAAATATATTTTATAATATGTTGTAGTTAATATTAATATTAATTTACGTTAAATTTGTTTACAAAACCTTTGTGAAACTCCTCAGTTTTGAACTGGAATTTCAATCAAAGTGTTAGTCAAGGTTTTCATTAAATTTTCATTAAGATTGGTTAACGACGTCCAAATAAAAATGATAATGGTAAGTTGGTAGTTGTGTAGAGTAACATTTAAGCATCGAGGAAGTGTAAGATCCATTTGTAACAGGCCTTACACGATGCAACAATCAGACTCTTTCCCAACAGCTTAATCGTTCGATTGTTCTGGTGGGAATGGCCTGCAGAGCCACTAATCGCTGCGACTATAATCGCAAATTAGCCATTCCGCGTCACGAATATTAAACAGGGTCGCCTGGGTCAAGTGTTGACTTCAGTAAACGATGTCTGTATCCATTAACAATTTATTATTAATATTTCTCACGCTTAATACAATCAAAATCAAAAATTCAATCAAAATGAAAATATTCTGTGGTCATTCTACAATTAAATTTAAAAATCTACAAATAATAATGATATTTTTAAATTATTAATTACTAGATATTTAATAGGAAGTCTTTCTAGAAATGTGTTTGCAAGTATTGATAACAAATTTGTTGGCTCGTAATGAAGAAATTAATTTTTCTTTAAACGTATGCTAATTGTTGAATTTTTTACATGTGAGTGGACTATGTTAATTGTCTGAGGAAGTGCTTGGACAAGAACCGGTTTCTTTTGTTCCGTATTAACTCGAGCACCACTCCCAAAAGCAGCTTAAGTGTTTCGACACCTCGTGTGAAGATCGAGTATCGGATTTAAACTGATCGAATTTCCTGTTTGATTGACATTCTAAATTGAGACTTTTGTTTGCTTGACCTATTCTCGATTTTAACAGCTTTATTCATTATACAGATGCTTTTAATTGGCTCTGCCTCTTAATTATTGAAAATTATATTATGATCCTTTATCGTTACCTTTTTCACATTTCTATGAATATTCTTTGCTTCGTGAATAACACATTTATCAATTATTAATAAAAGAAATTAGAGTTTCTTTAATTTCATAGATAAATCTGTTAACAGTCTCATACTGAGAAATTCTGAATACAAAATTTACATAATTTTCATTCCATAAAATTGCCAGCAGAATACTGCGTTACCTAATACACTGGAGACTTCAATGCGTGGTAAGAAGTGTCTTCCGTCCCAGCATAGAAGATACTTGATAAAAATAAAATTTTACATTTATGAAAACTGTAGATATCTCAATTTTTAATGTTAGTTCAAAGGAGAGACTATTTCTTACTAGATCATAGAATAAATATTCGTTTTATATAATGATAAAAATAAAATAGAAATATAAACATAAAAGACAAGTATAAAAGTAGAATAGAAATGTAAAGATAAAATATAAACATATAAATCAAATAGAAATATAAACATAAAGTATAAAAATAAAATAAGAATATAAAGATAAAACATAGATATAAAAATAAGATAGAAATATAAAAATAAAATAGCAAATTATTTCAGAATATTTTCATTAGTGTTTAATATTTAAACAATTGTTTCAGCTTACGCTGGACCTCCGGGTGGACAAGTTCCTTACAACGTTGGACAATACAATGCTCCAGCAGCCACAGTGTTTCCTAATCCAGGACCATCGTATCCTGCGCCTCAATCCGCCTACGCGAAACCATCGTTCCAACCGCAAAGCTATCAATCCCAACAATTAGTTGGCGCCTACTGATCCTCGAAATTTGACAACGAAAAAAAAACACGCGATATCTGTACATAATCTAGGCCAATAAATTGTTCACATTTTTAAAAAAAAAGTTACTCAATCTTTCTATTTCTTATATCCCTCCTTGATATCCTGTTTTCTTAATTATTACCACAATCAAGATGCAAGTCGTAAACTGAACTTTTATGAGCCTCTACATCAGAGCCTTAAAAAGTTTGTATAATATTATAATGAAAAAGAATTTTGATTTTTTACTGAGAAGAAAGAAAAACATTGAATATTTTAATACATTTTACATTGAGAATATATTTTATTAATTATTAATGAAGTAATTATATTATTCATATAATTCTACTTGATATTGTTTATCATTCAAATATACTCTATCATTAAATTCAATTTAGATTAAATATCAATTGCAATACTTCTTCCCACGCGACTTCTTACTTATTTCTACATCTACTCGCCATTTGATAAATAAGTTTCGTTAATTATCACCCATCAGTGAATATGAATGGCCATTGAAAAATAAGAGACAGCGAAAATAAATTCTACAAAAATATGAATATCGACGATTTCCAGAAACGTACTTTATTCAAATTTCGTTCTGATAAAACGAACATTCGATTGTTCTTATTGAGACATTTCGATCCGCTGCATTATGCAACGAATATGATTTGCGTCTGGCATATTTACCGGATGCAACTAGGTCAGTCAAACGCGCAGATCGAGGTGCCGCTGAATCTATGCACCACACGCATAAATCGCGAACGCGTTTCGGTCGTGCGCGACCGCAGGTTAACCCACATTCGATTTCACTATGCACTGCGGTTAGCGTAATCCAAGAATTAGAAAGAAATCCTCGCCTGGACCGAGTCAGCGAGAATACTTCTTCAGGGCCGTTTCGTGCTGACTTCTTTCGTCAACAACTGCCTAACACGCTGGCGAACGTGTTTCCAATAACGTTCAATACCGATTAAAGAAATAAACAAGGTTTTGTTGATGTAAATCTGTTGTTTGCATTTGTTCTATGAATGTTACTGTAAATGTTTTATTACAGGATATAAGTGTAGTTTATTGTGTTAATAATAAGTTATATTGCATAGGAATAAATGTTTCATTATAGAAAATAAATGTAGTTTGTTGTGTTAATAGTAAGTAATGTTAAATAGGAATAAATGTTTTATTGTAGAAAATAAATGTAGTTAATATAAATTGGACTTAAGGAGATTTAGCAGAATTTAATAGGGATGTCTTGTTGTTTAGAATTTGAGAAATGTTTTGTATAATATTTTATTGATTTCTAGTTTGAATTTCTAGTTTATTGATTGATATTAATAAGTATTAATATTTATTAATAACAGAATAATATTTTTTACTGATTTCTAGTTTGATAGATCGCTCCATGGGAATTTATGTTTATATATTAATGAAAAATGATTATGAAAATCGGGGATTCGACATGATACAAGAACCATTGCAAAGAGACAGCATTGTTCCTCTTGCCAAAACGAAACCGCGAAAGTTTGCGTAAAATCTGTGGCACAATCGAGATAAAAATCGAACTGGTAGCAGACGACTGAGGCAAGAAGCATCGTTGTGCGTAACGATCGTCTCGTGCTACTGTGGTTTCGAAAGAACATTTCATTGATGCAAAAACTATTTGTTACTGTAAGCTCAGTGGTGGAATCTTTTTTCACCAACTATCACTTCTAATTTCTGTTTCCTCATCATAATTGTACAAATCATTAAAAGAACTATTAAAAATAAGTGACAGAATTATTAAAGAGAATTTTACAATAATAATTATAATTCTATTTCTTTAAATTTGTATAAATTTGTATAAATTTCTATAAATTTCAATAATATGTTATTTTGTATAATATTGATTTTATATAATCAATTTGTAAATGGATTTTATAAATTTTCCAATTTTCTGGGTAGTTTCGAGCTGTTTTGTGGAGACTTTTTCAATTTGTTCAAGGGGTAGATTGAAGTTTTATTGAAACGGAATTACCTTTCAGCCACGGGCTGCCTCCAGACAGAATATTGCGACATAGGTCACCGGTGTACGAAAGACGTGAGAAGAAACGATCCGGGGAACGGAGATTCGTTCCTCCTGAACGAACTCGAGCATCGTGATTCGTCGTTTTTACCGGCGGAAAGGTTGAGAATTGGAACTTTTGTTCTTTCTGGCATTCCCGTGGCTGCCTGCGTGGAAGGATTAAGAAACAGGCTGCCGACATCTCAATTTTCAAATACTCTTTTCTCAAATAAAAAAGAAACAATGATCTAAAAGATTAGATTTAAGAATATTAAAAATATTAAAGAAATGAAGAATAAATATAAATTTATAATAAGAATATCAGAAGTTTAACGTATAAATATATAGTTATACTAAAAGTATTAAAAATATAAATTGTAAATTTATAGTTATAGTAAAAATGTTAAATATATAAAATAAAAATATATATTTATAGTAAAAGTATTGAAAATATAAAGTGTAAATATATAGTTATATTGAAAGCATTAAAAATACTTAAAATACAAATATATATTAATATATATAAAACATTGAAAATATACAGTAGAAATATATATTTGTACGAAAAATATAAAATACAAATGTATATTTATATTAAAAACATTAAAAATAGAAATGTATACTTAAATATAATTATAATTTAAAAAAATGAAAATATATGAACTGAAGGAGTTTTAATATTTGAATGAGCGATAAGATAACGAGAGCGCAGATGTTTGGAATGCTTTGGAAAGGTGAAGTGGTCTATTTCTCAGCCTAGATACTTCAAAGGCAACGTTAACAATCAACTTTAATCCAATATGCCATAATCGTGTACCATAAGGCGTGGATTATGTATAATCAAAGACCAAGTTCTGCGTGAACCTTTGCGCAACACATAAAAGTCATCGACCTGTTCGTGTCGTGTTACGTTGTAAACAGGGAATCTGAGTCTACGCTAATTAATTGAAGTGGTTAGGCACGCCTATTTCTTTTATCTATCAGTGTTTGATTAATTTCTGAACGTAGAAGGCTAATTTCATTAGCATTCCCACAATGTAAGCTACTATGTACTGTCAAATAGAAGATTCTAATAAAATATATGCAAATATAAACTAAATATATAAATAAAAGAAAATAAAATATAACCACAGTAATTTGAATGATATTTTACTCAATTTTGAAATAATCATTCTTCAAAAATAATGTAAGTATAAATATACAGATTCTTAATTGATTTTTCAAATTGACTACGATGTAATTATATTTCGAAACAATAGAACGTTTGTGTTTTATTAATAATTGTATAAATCAAACGTATAGATTAAAAAAGAAATAAAGTACGAACACAATAATCTGAACATTTTAACAAATTTAAAAATGCAGGAGGATCGATTTTGAAAAATAACGAACCTCCAAATATACAGAGTGATTCATAATTGATTTTTCAACTGACTACGATGTAACTATATTTTTAAACAACAGAATATTCATGTATTAATAGCTACAGTAAGATAAAAATATTGTAATGTAATAATCAACTGCTTCTTCGATTAATACCATTATCGTTTATATCGAATGTATTAAAAATATCATTTGTAAAATGAGAATCGAAGGATTTCGAAGCTGAATCGAACAGAAATTGGCCGATCTGTTTCCAGCACGACGTTTATAAGGGGACGAAAACTCATCGTGCAAAAGAGGACTACCTTGAAGGGATCGCCGGTGGATCTATGATCCAGTCTAGTCGTCCGTGAATCAAGGCGTGTTTTCAAACCGCAGAAAAGTCTCTGCCTAAGTTGCATAGCCTCGTGTTGCACCGGCGGGGGTGGGGTTGCACTGAAGAATAACCTCGAAAAGCCGAGTCGGAACATCAGGGACGTTCTAGGAAGGTCTATGTATAAGTGAGCCGTTCATTTTCAAAATGGCTGAAATTCATTTTTCAACAAAATCAAAAGCTAATGATTTTAATCACTTCTTTCTATGTTATCTTCCTATTTCTAAACGGTTTCTCCCTTTTTAATGGACTTAAGACACTTTTAAAATAAACTCGGTTTTCTTCTTTTAAACATTTTTTTTTAGTGAATTAAGCCATTTTCAAAAAACATTACTTTTTTATTTTTAAATGCCTTACCTTCTTAATGGACTTGTGCCATTTTTTAAATAGACATTATTTTTTTGTTTTTAAACATTCTTTTTATCAAATGCACCTAAGCCATTTGTAAAAAACATTACCTTTTTATTTTTAAATGTTTTTTCTTCTTAATAGACTTATGCAATTTTCGAAATAGACATTATTTTCTTGTTTTTAAACATTCTTTTGTTTAAATACACTTAAGCCATTTGCAAAAAACATTACCTTTTTATTTTTAAATATTTCTTTTAATAGACTTCCACTTGCAAACTAAACTTTACCCCTTTATTCTCATTTTCTTTCCAAATAAACTTAATCCACTGTCCAAATAAATCACGATCTAACAATCCGTTTGTAACATAAATTTATGAAATGTATTCTGAGGTTTATAGAAAGTATGTGCATTATTTTCCTTTCATGTTATTGGAATAAAGGGTTGGAATTTATTCGTCATCATTTCAAATCTCACCCCTTTCAGTGGACTGTCAGAAATGATTTTTATTGAGGCCTGACAGTTCCACGGTTATTATTCGTGACAGAAACAATTAAGGTATCGATTATCGTTTCATGTGTGATCATCGTAACGTGGTTTCGCGTTGACATCGCGACGCTATAAAAGCAAGATCGACCGATCGAATATGATACACTCGCAACCGAGACGTCCGTTTCGTGGCCGGTGGTGTCTCGACAGCATGAGATTACTCGTAAGTGTGATTAACACGTTCTGTGCCACCGAAAATTTCAGATATACTTTGCTTATAAACTGTATCGATTTTTTCAAATTAAATATAAAATTATATTTAATTTTTTCATGATTTTTATATATTTCAATATCATCTTGTTTACATATCCACTGCTTTGTAACGTGTATCACTATACGTGTCTCGTAAAAAATATATGCTTAGAAAAATTGACCTGCCAGAAATGGTATACGCGGCACTGAACGTGTTAAAGCCTGGGAAACGTGAATTTAGATGAAAATCTTCGGTTCCCAACTTCACAGAAACCAATTTTCACTGATTACTACGTTAAACTTGATTCTTGATAAAATAGACAAGCTGTTCAATCAAATATGGTCAAATACTGACACAAATTTCGATTCTCTTAAACTTCGATCAGTTTTTAAATTTCTGATTTTATCAATAACCAACATTAATTTCCAAATAATTAAAAGACACTTTGTTCACTAACTCTTTAAATCACTAAATAGTTCTAACAATGATATAACATTTAATGAATTAAATTTTAAAGAAACACAAAGTATCGTGAGGAGTGAGAATAGTGTTCCAATGATTGACTTATTAACACTAGAACTACCAGTCAAATGACTTGTTTCGCAATTATTGATACCTTAAAGGCATCGAATATTCGAAATGATTTTAAAAATAGTTTGAATTCTATAAAATGTCTGAGGGAACTGAAAACAATCTATTGTTACCATTTTTATACAAATTATATATCACTCATATTTTCATTAGAACTCCATAAAATGTCTGAGGAAATTGAAAATAATCTATTGTTACCATTTTTATACAAATTATATATCACTCATATTTTCATTAAAACTTCATAAAATGTCTGAGGAAATTGAAAATAATCTATTGTTACCATTTTTATACAAATTATATATCACTCATATTTTCATTAAAACTTCATAAAATGTCTGGAGAAACGGAAAATAATCTATTGTTACCATTTTTATACAAATTACATATCACTCATATTTTCATTAGAACTTCATAAAATGTCTGGAGAAACGGAAAATAATCTATTGTTACCATTTCTATACGGATTACATACCAATCACGTTAAATGCTCGATAATTCTAGTATTAAACGAGACTTGATTGATTTTTAATGATTTTCCAGATACTCCTGGCTGCGTTGATCGCATCTACCACAGCTTCAGCGTACGAAAACAAGGAGTATTATCAGTACAGAGGCCCGCCAGCGCCATTGACGAGCGATGGAATGGTCATGGACACACCGGAAGTGGCCCACGCGAGGGCAGCCCACTTAGCGATGCACGCGAAGACTATGGCTAGGTTGAGGAAGGCCCAAAACGATTATGAGATGTACGAGAATAATGACATGATGATGACGATGCCGCAAATGATGGAGGAACCGACGATGCAGAAGCGACAGCGTCAGAGGAACACGATGGCACCTCTGGCTCCTGATGGCCGTGTCATGGATACTCCTGAGGTAGGTGGAAAATCATTTGTACGCGTCCAGAATTGTAGTTAAAAATTGTTTTATTATTTTTTTGTGATGAAGGATGAATTATAAGTAGGAAATAGTGTGATGAAGGGTTTGGTATTTGACAATTTTTTAAATTTCATTTGGAAGACTCATAGTTGGAGTTAATGTGAAGACTATTTGTGATGGTGATTGAAAAATTGATATGGAGAAATAATTGCTAGTAGTTGAAATATTTATTTCTTTGAATATTGAAGTAAAATTAAGTTTCGATCATTTTATATTATGTTTTTTTAGATGCTTCAATGATTAATTATTAATGAATATTTCATCGCATAAATTCTCCATTACCCACTACCACTTCCAACCTGCTTAACAAGCAAAAACTAAAAGTGTTCTACAAATTCCAATAATTAAAACCTTCAAAAACCCTCAAAGACAAATTTTCTCCATAAAATTTCTATTTCTTACATTTGAAACCCAAGGTGGCCGAAGCCAAGAGCGCCCATCTAGCGGCACACGCCAGAGCAGCATCGAAAGCTTCCGAGTTCTACGAGCTGGACGTGTTCGATGGGAGGAAGAATTTAGTCTACCTTACACCACTACGTGTCACATACAATTATCCATCGTCGAACGGTTACAGAGGGCCATTCGCGCCATTGGGCGCCGACGGACGAGTGATCGACACGCCGGAAGTTATGAGAGCGCGCGAGGCGCACATGAAGGCTCACGCTCGCGCGGTCGCCATGTCTACGCAAAACGATCTTTACTACTGAAGGGAAAAGCATTCTCATGGTCCATTGATGTTCTAGACGAATAGGTAGGTGGGATAAATCAATGCAAACTTCATGAAAATATTATTCAATCGAATCCTTCGAGAACACCCATTTTCTATTCCATGCATCTGAACCTCGCGGGCAGGGGTTCTCAACTTGCTCGAATTTCGTGGATTCTTTCACTTATATATAGACTTTGGTACACGAGGAACGATATTAGAAGAAATTTTATATGTATATTTGATTGGGAAATGAATTTAAAATTGATTTAAATAAAACGTGAGAGTTGAGAATCTCTGTTAGAAGAAAATCGTATGTGTTTCGTGCAGAATTTTGTCTGGTGAGTTCGTTCGGCGTTTCGATGAAACTGTTCGAGATTAATGACGGTGAAAACATGTTGAAGTAATTATGAGAAGCATGGTTCGTATTGTACCTGATTTTTTAATGGTTCACGAGAGCCGAATGGTTTGACGAAACTCGAACGAGGAAGCTGCAGGGCGATGAATAAGTGCTTGTACATAATTTCACTCGGTTAATGTTAACGGTGATCATTTTTGGATAAGAGTAATTAATCTAGGTCCATCCGAGTTCATGTTGCTGACGTCGCAATTTGAATTTAATTGCCATATGTAATTCTTAATCGTTAAGAAATATCGATGTAGGTTTTAAGTGACAGTTACATTGTCAGTTAATTGTTATACCACGCGAACGCAGGGGATTCTTCATGGCTGAAGCTTAATAATAAGAAAGCAGTCGAATTAAATGATTTATGTCAACTCTTATTGCCACCATTGTGTATTCTTTGTATGATATTACTATGGTAGAATAAAATACAAATACAAATGTGTTTCAGTCCTTTCTTTTCTTTATAAATATCTAGAATAATTCATTTATAATTAATATATGTATAATCAATTTATCATTTACAATTAACTAACTTCCTATTTATTAATTATTTAACTAATCGACTCAACTGTTCAATTATCCTTCCAATTTATTCTTCACAAATTAATCAGCTAGTCTATTCAACCATTCACTACAATCACTGTTCATTCTCATTTTCTAATCTCCCTAATTAACCTCATTCCTTAAGTATTCTTATGGACGCATCTCTTAATGATAGTTTATAATATAATTGATCTAAATGTTCGTCAATCTTTCCAATTATCCGTTTATTCCTCCCACTTGGAATATTTTCCTAATTACCCCAGGACAAATTCGTAATTACTCGTTTATTGGTATTTCTACAGTGTCTAATGTCGTGTAAGTGGTTACTTAGTTGCAACCAGTATCGGTTTCAAACATGACTAAACCCACGTGGGCTCCGCCGTGCACTTATTCTGTCATCCCACACCGTGCCGGATTACTCACGCTCGAATGTAGGCAAAATAAGCGAGCAGGTCAGTGGGCGTCGTCCAATGAGAAATCGAAAGGAAGAGCACTCCCAGCTTGGCGCTGAACCTTGCGAAACACGGATTCCGTCTGTTCAAGAATTCCCTTACGTTAAGCAGAATTCATGGCTCGCGATCCATGTCGCTTAAATTTATTATTAATTGGCGAATTAATCAATTCTCTGGGATTATTAAATTTAGTTTGAGGTTCGGAGGGTTCTAGCGATATTTTATTAATTAATTGATAATTAAGTGATAGGTGTATAAGATCTATATGGTGACACTTGATTCATAATTCTTGAGGGGTAGTCCTAATTTTGTGATTCGTCCTGCGGAAAATTAACAAGAAGATAATGTATAGTTTTCAATATTTTATAAAGTTTTCACGATCGTTCTGTTTTAAATAATTTGATGTTTGGTGATGGTGCACGGCAAATTCGTGCTGGCCAACCCACTTTTCGTAGAAATGTAACAGAAGTGCATACAAAGTAGGCACATCTATCCTTTTTTAAACTTTGATCATCGTTTGCAAACATTTAATGATATGCAAAATTCAAGATTTGTATAGCTACGTGGTCGGACAAGTATCCTTTATTTTCTGCGACAAATTTTAACTGCCTATCGTTTTCAGTTTTCACGTAACACTTGGTTTTCTGAAAAATTCGACCGTTTTTACAAAACCCCAGTTTTTTCGGAAACTGGACCTGACCCAGCAATTTGGTTTCCGGATTCGTATTTAGGGTAAGGAACTCTATAAGAATCACATAATGGTTATTACAAAAAGTAACATAGGTCAAAATTTGTTCCACAGTGTAATCATCGTTTAATCGAATGAATTATAGTAATTTAATTCGGTTGAGGTCACCGGTGACCCCCATGGCGTTCAACGTGTTAACCCTTAACACTTCACATGGTTTTGTAATTTATCTGCAACTGTAACTAATTTTTATGGTATCTCTAGTGAAAATGAAAAGTGCTATAACATTCCCTCGATCTTTTATTTTCCTTCTTAGTACAAAATTTGGATGCGTGGAAATAATTTTAGGGTAGTTTATTTGATTCATTAAAATATTTGATAGTATAACTGGTGCAATATCGGAGCCTATAGAGTTCAAAGGGTTAATCATACAGATAAAATCCAGCTCCGATCCTCGAACCTTTAAACGCACGATATCTACTCCAGACAAGCGTTAATTTCAATATCCTCGCTTAAATAGTCAATTACGATCGATCCAAGCGATAATGATCACGGGAAACTGCTCTTGGGTCCGGGGTTCCGCTCGAACAAATGATCCATGAGTCGTGTCTGCTACCGGTGGTCCCGCCGGAGATCCTTGCACTTATCTTGCCAGCAGACACCGTCGACAGAACCGGTTCCAAGCATAAACCGACGTAAACGCGGCACGCCTGCACCGACACGCTAGACGGTAATTCGTGTTGCCAGCAAGGACGTGATTGACCGTGCCTGACGAGAAATGCGACGGGACACAGGGTTCAAAAGCTCATGACTCGCCCATTGGTGTCTACTTTCTCATTCTACGATTTTTCAAATGCATTCGAAACAATTGAAACACAGCGTTTTCAAAATTTTACTGAATTCCATTTTTAAACTTGTTAGGTTTCATTAAATTCTAGCTAAAAAATGAACTTATACTTTTAACCAATTTAATTTAGATACTCTGGTTGCCTTAATTAGAATAATTCATAGGAATTTCAATATTTCCTTTAATCTACCAAATGGTTCTATAATTTAATTTTGTATCAATTTCCAACGAATCGGATTTGAATATTAATGTGATAATTATGTAGTGCAACAATTGAATGATAGTTCAATTTAGAATAATCTTCTATTGTAAATTATTTTTAAATGAAAGCTTGGAGAATAAGAGAATTGTACTTACCACTTTCTTATTGAGTAAATAATTTAGCTAGTGTTTAATTGCAAGCACTGTAATATATATTATACATTTTGCTTCATACTATGATACTTCAGTTTCTAATAAATGTTTCTTATAATTTAAACTATATTATTGATTTCTGAATGAGCTATAGCTTCAACGAAATCTACTTCAGCCACCCAAGGCCACTTCCCCCACTCCCAGTCGTGCTGCAGCGTGATTGGTGGAGGTAAGCGTTGGGCGGCCTTCAACGGACAACTAATTCTGTCGCAACTATAAGTCACGGGCCGTGTTCACGCCTATGTACACGTGTACCGACCACGCACGCGGCTAGATTCCTCGGCGTAATCAGATTTACGCTCGCAACCGTAAACCCCCGTTTTCACTGCCGTGTTTTCCGCTGCAAACACGAATCAATCTGATCTATGTCACGGGCATGGCGGCCAGGCACGCTTGATAGCCGGCTGATTGTGTGTACGATCGATTATAACAGAGGTGCTCAAATTGATGTATGTCGTTTTGACAAACACAGCTCTATTTCTCGTCTCATGTCTTACGAATTATTTAAAAATATTTTTCATCTCTTACTTAGAATATTATCTATTGGAAAATATTTTTTCGTTTCCATGTAGTACCTTATATATTTTTATACAAATTCTTGAGTTTATTATTCAAAGTGTTATCTACTGGAAAATATTTTTTAGTTTCCATGTAGTACCTTGTATATTTTTGTATAAATTCTTGAGTTTGTTATTCAAAGTGTTATCTAGTGGAAAATATTTTTCAGTTTTCATATAGTGTCTTGTATGTTTTTATACAAGCTTTGAGTTTGTTATTCAAAGTGTAATCTATTGAAAAATAGATAAAACTTCTTATAAAAGAACTAAATTGATCACTCAAAAAATTGTTAGAAAATAAGTTCACCTGTTTCAAGCAGTATCTTATGAATCGTTCTAACGGATGTTTAACAATAAACCTACCAAATGAAATTGACTCCTTGAAATTCCTTTATAGAAACTTCAAGAGTACTATTGAGAATTGATTTTTCAGTTTGCGTATTGCTAAATTAATTTCTTTAATTCCTCAAAGAAATATCCGTTACCTGTCTAATAATAGCAAAATGAAGAAATCAAGAATTATTTTGACCTGTCTGGTAGTTTCAATTTTAAATTATTGTCTATAGAAGTTACCGAATTCGGGCCACGCGAATGTTCTTATCGCCCAATTGAAGATTCAGCGAATCAACCAGCTGTTTTGCACAATTGCAGCGACTTCGGAACTTTATTCTAAGCTTCTTGCCCTCTCGCAACATTATATACATACACATAACAACGTACACTTAAGAGTATTGCACAATCGTGGAGAAAATGGTAACACTGGAAAGAAGAAAAAAAAAGAGAGAAACACTTCCTACAGAATAAATTCTACGTGATCAAGTTCCCGGTTGATCGCGGACTTTCCTCGACCATCGAACGCGATAAGGAGATCACCTTGACGAGGAATGTGATTATGAGTTCCTGCCCGGGAAAATGATCGATACTATCGTTCAAACGGTACAACGGCCCGTTATTTTCATTTGCATTCGCCGACAAACAACTCGTTCGACGCTTTTCACTTTCCATTGGAAAAATACCTTGTACAACATTGCATTCTACTCTGCCACATCTTTTTTTTCAGAGACTCCTTCTGTTAACCCTTTCTCCTATAATTTCGATCGCAGTGCCTGATGGAACTACATCATTTTTAATGATTGGCAACAGGAAAAGAATGTTATGTTTAATCCGTGTCTACGTTTACTGTCAAGGATTGTTAAGAAATATTTCATTTATATTCAAGATGAATATGCAATGCTTAAATTCGTCGAATTTGATTGAAAACTACCTTCGCGAGTCTGATATAGGAAAAAGGGTTTAAATGCGTAACGGAGAGAAAAGTTTGAAAGAGAAAAAGTGAAGAAGTTTAGGAACCAGCAGCTATTTTGTAACAGACAGTGTATTTTTCTACAGTGGTGACCGTTTGAGTCGACAGGAGGTAGCTAGAACGCGACAAGAAACCGTCGCGATAGGAGAAAGTATGCGGGACAGCGGTCGGAAATGTTTATAGTAAAACGAACAAGTTGAAGCGACTTGGTTGGCCAAAAAGTCTTCGAATTTTCTTCTGCACTTACATACTTCAATAAAGGAATAGAACAGTCGTCAAATAAAAATAAAGCAGAGGAGGAATAATTATTAGACAGTGGATTATGTAGAATAAAATTGTCTGACACAGAGAAGCCAGTGATTAGCAGAACCTAATTTCCCTAAAAGTCTTAATAGCTTGAAAATAAAGTAACAAATAAAATATGTTTATTAGTAATTACTTTATATCCTTTATATTCACTGCTTCATCTGCTATGCACTTATTTGTTACAAATGCATAATATACACTATCTAATAATTATATTGAACGCGAAGAATAGAATTTACCGAAACACTTTCTGACCAACCGAAGGATAGAGATCTAGTAGTTTGTCTGATTTAAGGAGAAGAGAGTAAATTAAATAACTTGGTAAAATCGTTACGTCGATTATTGGTAGACTTGGTGTTCAGAGGTAGATCGAACGTGATGTTTGAAGAGGACGGAATCCTCTGAGAGCATCGATTGCAGTGTGAGTAATGAATTTCCGATATTCTGGAGGGATTAGTCGCCTAGTAGTGATTCCAGTTGTTCTGCTGGCCCCATGGATTGGGTGGATTGTAGGCGCCCGACGGGTTCCATGATGGGGCTGGGCCTGGTGGGCCTGGTGGGACTCCCGGGCCCCGTTGCGCCTCGGAGTTGTAGAGGGAGAAATGGACGGCCTTGGCTTGCTGCACTTCCGGTGTGTCTACCACTCGGCCGTCTGGGCCCAGTGGAGCTGGCGGGCCACTGAAATTTCAGAATGAAAATTGATTAGCAAGAAAGTGAGATGTGCGATTGGAGAATTGAAAAATTGAGGCGGAAAGTTATTTTATAATTTTAATTTGATGCTTGAGTTCAGAGAAAGGCTAGTTTGTCTTACTGATTAAACATTTTGGATAGTTTAGGGTTTACATATTTAGGTTTTTGATTATTTTACTTTGTGGTTGTTCAAGTTTTTAATTATTTAACTTCGTGGCTATTTAACGTTCTATCAGTCATCAACTATTAACTACTGAACTATTCAATTACCAGCTGTTTAATGTTTCAATCATTTGACTTTGTGGCTATTAACTTTTTATCAATCATCAACTATTAAATACTGAACTATTCAATTACCAGCTGTTTATTTTCAATCATTTGACTTTGTGGTTATTTAACTTCCTATCAATCATCAACTATTAACTATTGAACTATTGAATTATCACCTATTTCATTTTTCAACCATTTAACTCTTAAACTAACTTCTCAACTACTTGAATTTCCAATTGAAAAACTCCTCAACTACTTAGATCTTCAACAATTCCACTTTTCCATTCAGCTTTCCAATTACTTAACTTCTCAATCATTCAACATTTCAATTACTTCAATGTTCAACCACGAGACTTTCAAAGTTAGCTCTAAACATTATTAAAATGATAAAATCAAAACCTGTAGTGTGCATAGTTTCCAGGAGCGTACCCAGGAGGGCCAGGATATGGGCCAGCACCGGTAGGTCCTTTCGGCGCCCTAGCATTAGCGTCAGCCAAAGCAGCCAAATGAGCAGCCTTCAGCTGCGCCACTTCCGGCGTGTCTACTACTCTGCCGTCTGGGCCCAACGGCGCTGGTGCTGCGTGGCCGCCGTATGCCCCAGGATGACCGCCTCCGTACCATTGTGGCGCACAAAGGACTACGTTTAGGGTGACCGAGAAAAGTACCTACGCAGAAATACCTGACTATTAATACATGCACATATCTTCAAACTGAGAAACTCATTCACGCTTCACTCTGAAGTTAACTTCACTTAGCAATAGGCAACGAAGCAAGAAACTTATCTCTCAACGAACAAAATAATCTATGATGCAATGCAAAGAACCAGTGAAATGAATAAAAAGGAATAACGTACTAAAACTCAAACATACTTTTCCGATCAACAAACCAAACACCTCTAAAGATTCCATCACAAGAACTCTCAATATTCAAAAATATATCCAAATAAGTCCATCGTTGCTCCATAAAACCAAAGAAACATGTGCTCGAACATAATCAAACGCGATCAAATACTGTCAAACGATGTCAAATCTCGCCGATTTTACAATGGAAAGTATATCGAACGATCCCGGATAAAGAGTATTATTTCAACAGAAGGGAAATCATTGGATTGATAAGAGAACATAGTGAAACAGTATGTGTACTCACGAGATAGTGCATCATCTTGTCGAACCTCCTCGCGGTGCGTCGATCCAGCGACTATTGATAGAGGTTTAGATTCGCATTACGGCTTCCAGTATCGTGGATCGTCCAATTTATAGGGGTATGGGGCCCAGGATCGATCGGTCTGCATGCGCCCCACCCCTTTCTGCGGCTAGCAAACGGGGTATAACCACACCCAAGGAAAATGCTCTGTTTAAGGCTAGCCTGCCCTGCCCCGTAACATTTACCAGGCATTAACAATGACACCGCGTGTCCCGTAACCTCGTCAGGAATAAAACTCACCTTCCAGCGGAGCTATGCGACACGCGGAGCGTGGACGCACGTCATCGCGGATGCAATTCCGACGTCCTCGGTATTTATCGGGGCCTAGAGTTCTGCAATGGGCGGGACCGGTGCCCTGTTCCTTGGATCGTAATGCTTGCTGACGAAAATATTGCTGGATCGTATTTATGATTTATTTGAGTTTATTCTTATGTTGTATAATTGGTTTTTATTGGGATTTTTAACGCGGAGTTCTCGGTTTATGTTGCGCTTAGGGTGTTATGGGATTTTTAGGGTGCTGTGAGGGATTGTTTGATATTGTTTGATGTTGCATTATATTGTGTTATATTATGTTATGTTAGATTATGCTATATTATAGTATATTTCACTATATTTTACTATATTTTACTATATTTTACCATACTTCAGTATATTTTATTATATTTTACTATACTTTACTATATTTTACTATATTTTATTACATTTTACTATATTTTACTATACTTTATTATATTTTATTATATTTTATTACATTTTACTATATTTTACTATACTTCGTTATATTTTATTATGTTTTATTACATTTTACTCTATTTTACTATACTTCACTATATTTTATAATATTTTACTATATTTTGCCATATTTTACTACATTATACTACATTACATATATTAGATTACAATATAATATATTTATACGTCATACTATATTACACTGAACAACTACACACATTTCCCAAAATGCGGAACTGGTTAAGTAATTCATTTCTTAAGAAAATAATTAAGGATATTTGAATTTGAGTAGGTTTTGTAATAAAAATCTGAATGGTTTGAAGCAATATTCTTTATTATCATTATTACTATACTTTCTTCAACAGTTTGGTGCTTTAATAATATCTGGAATCGAGAAGTCATGACATCGACCTTGCACGCAGAATAACGTAGAAATAGTCTTGATCAATCAAGCGATAAATCGGTGTTATGCTACCGTAAAGAAACAGGTGATGCAAGGCGATTCATGTAAAGTACCTCATTGGTATTAGACCACGAGTTTTATGAACTTACAGCATTTTACGCCACCCGCCCTGGACACAGCGAAATATTTAGTGAACATTAACGAGACTTTTTAAATCCTTCGGAATGTAATAAAATTCATAGCGCGATAAAGACAGTTTTTTCCGATTCGAAATTCGATAAAATAGCTCGTGGAGTTCTTTGTCCACGTGACTATGACTATTAACTTACATTCTTATATAGTATATAGTATATAGTATCGAAAGAGAAATAATTTCACACTAATACAGTATTATTTAAACAAACAAGGATAACGGTATTTAAAAAAAATTCATCACAAACCTCATTAAAAATATTATTTCTTGCAATCATTTTAATGTAACTATATTTTATTATACATAATTTAAAATATATCAGAAATTGAAAATATATCCACGTTGGCATACTTTAAAAGAATCATTTTAATAAAAATTCGACTTCAATTTACAAATACAGATTTTTTAAAGAAGAAGTAACAAATTTCTGAAATGGCACGGTATACTAAGAAGTAAATGTGAATATTGAATTTGATATTAATACAGACGTAATTAATTAGGGCAACTAAAGCAAACATTTCATCGTTACTACCACTGAGATCACCGTGAAAGATAATTCAATCAGGTTCAGCTGAATTTCTTTAAATGCCTGAGCTAATCGAACTCGATTTTCATCAAGCAATACTGTCAGACGTCGATGCAAGTGGTGCATTCAACGATTTCTCATTGAAATAAGCAACGTTGCGACAGTTATCCTGGTTCAAAGACCACCTCGCGCATTGTTCGCGCGTTGACCTGAACGGGACCGCGAGCTTGTCGCCAACGCTTCGATAACAACCACAGAACTAGCTGGTCACTAACAATCGTATCGAATCTACATACAGCACGTGACATTTAGGAATTTATTCGAACCAGTGAAATCTCAAAAATAAATGAAGCCGATTAAAATCATGATACCTGAATTTTATGACTAAATCAATCTTAATTCAGCAGTATTCTCTTAAATATAATAAATAAGTAAATCTGAAAAGAGTACTTAAAACTAATTAAAATTTCACAAAAACTGTTATTAAAAATGAGTTTCCCATATACTATTATACTTCCATATTTATTTAAACTTCAATGGAATAAAAAAAAGGATCAAGGAAAGAATTCACACAGAACAGGCAGAGGAAGAAAGAGAAACGAATAAACATTGTTTCCTTAAATAATTGCAACCACTTTAATATCAAAATCTCAACAAAATACATCGCCCACTCCCAACGCATCCATCATGCAGAATCTCTACCTACAGAATAAACCCATAGCGGTACGCAATGTTACATAAATACAAAAAAATAAATGATAACGAACCGATCCGCCAACCAGATGCGAGATCGTCAGAAACACGTTCCCAGAATATGAGGTACAAGTTACCGTCAACTCTAGAACCAGAAAAATCCAAGAACACTACAGTCCCTATGCTATAATCTCTAACAGAATCAGTGAAACCTTCAAGGTCACGCTACAATATTAATGTTAAAAATAACCTTGAACAGTCTTCTAACTGCCATTCAGACACTAGCGAAACTACTCTAAGTTATCCCACAAGTCACAAAATTCATCGGACAAGGTTACGCAATTGAAACGAATTTTTCCAAATTTCCTTCGAATTTCCTGGTGCTAGGGCTGACACCATGCGCGATCATCGATCCTCTTAACGATCTTCACCAGTGTGGCTGAGCATAGGGATCCGAGTAAGCCAGATGAGAGATTTTCGAAATTTGCTCGGCATGGGCTGCCAAGTGGGCTGCCTTCGCATGGGCCACTTCCGCCGTGTCGACCACTCTTCCGTCGTGGGCTAGTGGCGCTGGTGGTCCATGGTACGCTACTTGCAATGGCGCTGTTGCGTAGGGCGCGCTGTATTCGTCGTTGTAGTCCGGCGCGTAGGGAGAAGCTTTCGCCGCTTCCGCAGCGTGCGCCGCCAGGTGCGCTGCCTTAGCGTGAGCCACTTCCGGCGTGTCTACCACGCGGCCGTCGTGGGCTAGCGGCGCAGGAGGGCCGTGGTACGCTGCGCCGTAGACGGGGTAGGGCGCGTAGCCGGGTAGGGCTTTCGCCGAGAGCACGAGGCACGAGATGAGAAGCTGGAACAGTTGTCTGAAGTTGAGGGTTTTGTTGGTGGCTGGTGTTGTGTGCTTGTTAGTGGGTTTGTGGAGTTTGGTTGGGGATATTGAGAATTAGATGTGTAAGGATTAATAAATGTGAATTGTTGGGATTTGGTTGGAGACATTCAGAATTAGATGTGTAAGGATTAATGAGTTTGAATTGTTCGTTTGCTGTTTGAAGCAACTGTTTTGTTAAGTGTGGATTTGTTATTTATTCCTTTGGGAAAGCTGTCTTTGGAAAGTGGAAGGTAGAACTGATAAAAGTGTAAGTGGCACTAGAATTTGGAAAATTAAATTTAATGTAATGAGTGGACTTTGAGAGATTGATTAATCGTTTGGAAAATTATCCTTTTTAGCACTGTGAATATTTAATAGTTTAAAGATTAGAATCTAACCCATTTCAATACCCGTTATTCAAAAACAAAATCTACTTTTACCAACATTTCCCCTTAAAAACAAACACACACAACACACCCAAATGACTCCCAAATCTAACAATCCTAACAAAACTCAAACATCCAAACTCCCAACAAGAGTTCAACAAACTATCACCGACAAACTCCAAAAGTCCAAAACCTCAAACAAAACTCCCCTCACAAACTCTTCCAAACAGAACCAAACCTCCAGAATCTCAAACAAAATTATACAACGTTAATCTCAAACAACAATCCCAGTGTCGCCAACAAACTCGTACCAGAGCCACTATTCTCCAACGTAAACAAGCCCGAACCAAATCAAACCAAACCAAACCAAACCAAACGACGATTCTTATCAGAAGCAGCCATCTAGCGGAACACCAGAAGTGTCCAAGTGTCTTTCCAGGTACTCACGAGGGACCTCATGTTCGCTTATAGGATCCGCGGAGCCGTGATGGTTCTGCCGACCGAATGAACCGGGTACACCTTATATAGTCGTGGAACAATACGAGGCGCCCACTTCGACGCCGGTGTAAACAACGGCCACGCCGCGGTTCGAATATCTACACGCACACGCACGCG